GGGTTTACTAGTACTAAGAGAAAATAGAGTGGTTTTCCATTGAGAATCATAGAACCAAAACCAAGGTAATGAATCTGGTCAATCTCAACAGACACAGTCAATCTACTGAACCAGTCAAATCCTGAAGCAAATAGTACATGTAGCTAACATAAAGCCCAGGAGGATTTTTGTGAGCGAATCACGGTTTGCTTCGGTTTCACTTGATAATCACCTGTATCAACTGTTAATAAAAATCAGTTAATTACTAACAGGGGCTGACCAAGAGCTACTTTATTATCTGAAATAGTTTCTTCAGACAAGTAGTTCTGACTTGCCATATATTATTTAGAAAATAGCCCAAAGAAAATATGCACAGTGATTGGTTTAAAATCGTGTTTCTATTAAACAATTAGATTATGAGCTCGAGATTTCTATCTCATGATAGTTGACTCGGGAGCAAATAATCTAATTGTTTTATTATAAATCTACTAGTTGTTAGAAAACTGAATCTAAATCCTCTTCAAAGACACTTCGAAAACACAAAGAAGCAGTCCCCAGTGCATTCTGCTACACTACTCACTATCTACAACAGAGTAGATAGTGAGTAGCATAGCCAATCAGAGAACGCCATTCGAGATAGAATGCTATTAGATTTACACTAAAATGCAATAGAAACGCAGAGCTAGCACAAGTTGTTGATGCAAAATGGCTTGAGCAAAGAGAATTTACATTTCAATGATCAAAGTACATGTAAACAAGTTGTTTTTCTTTTTTTCGTCACAGTATTTTCTAAAAGAAATAGAAAACATGTTCTCCATGTTTCTATCGAGTCATAGAAACACTCGTGAAAGTTTGGGAGAGCTCAAAAAAGCTGTGAAAACAATCACCTAATGGCTCGTGTTCCCACAGCATTTCTCATTCTCCGAAACTTTCACTCATGTTGCTATAACGTGATAGAAACATGATACATGTTTCTATTTCTTAAATATTGAATGATATTCATTATGTGATACTATGATTCTTACATCATTCTATTATGGACAATAGAAGCTACACCTATAACTATAACTTACTAGAGCCCTCTTTTTCTGTGCTTTATTTGTCAGGTCCAGTCTGATGTAAGGATAATGTTAAAGACCTTTTCTAGAGATCTCAACAACTTGAAGCAATCCCTCTTGCGAGCATCAAATTCATATCAAGTGTATCCTTTTCTGCAGACAAGTCAGTAAGGATCCATGTAGCTTTGTTCTCTAAAATCCCAGAGCCTGACCAATTTAAAGCTTATTCATGCAGAGCAATATAAAGAGTTTACCAAGGTTTTGTTTCTTTTCTTTTAAACTTTTTTGTGCATCATGTATTGAAGCAACCTGCTACATTCCAAAGTCCTGTGAAAAACTAGAATACACTAATTTATTCCAACAATTAAAAGGGGAAGACAGGGTTGTTGTTAAAGGCTGTAACCCATAACATCTGTTATGGCTGAGTATGCTTGATTTTCCCTTGGTGCTACAGGTCAAATTACTTGTTGTTGATAGAATTCACCCAGAAAGTTTCAAGTTTGCTATGGGTGTGGAGGAAAAGGTCACCAGTGGCTCAAAACTTAATGACAGCCCTGGGGAGGTGTGTGACCCAAATGAACCTTGACTGTAAATTTAAGAAGTTTCTCACCAATATCATCTCATATTGTAACCTTATTTCTGTATGTCTGCCATAAAATTTAGTGCTTTTTGTTGGCATAATTCCTTAATCGATGTATAGTACAGAGAGAGAAATTGACAGAAGACAAAACATGTTAGACCAGCTGATAACCAAGTAAGTATTATTTTTAAAAGACCATAGAATCTACACATGTAGCAGCTCTGGTTCAAAGCCCCATTGTAACCCCATAGATAATGGTATGAAGGCATAAAGGTGATTAAAAGTCTGTAAATAGCACTTAGTGGCCCACAAGGTCAGCATTTACCTCTGGTTTCTGTAGCATGGGACAACTAGGAGCATTTCTACTCCCCCCTGGATTGGATGCTTGTCCATCACAGGGTTACCACTCCCTCCTCAGCATTTATTTTGCTGGTAGTTGTTTATAGTTCTGGTTAGAGAGTGGCACAGATTACACTCTCTTGCCCAGGAACATAACAAAATTGCCGTTACCTTTGTTTGTATGGCACAACCCTGGACTGTGTGATCCATAGTCCAGTGCACTTACCATTGGGTGACCACATCCTTCTGTGGAGTTTTTCCTTTACTGTCTTGCATATTCTTCTATCGGATATTACCATATGATACCACTAGCATAACTCTTACAGAAAGTACTCCCGATATTGTATGGTCCCATGTACAAGAAAACTCCTTGTTTAATTGATCCATCTGTGTCAAGTAGTCCTATCAAAGGTAATTTCCCAACAAAATAGTTCTCAACTGATGTCATCCCACTTTGGCACAGTGTTAACCGTGATAACCTCTGACATGTTCAGATAAATGATCTTCATACATTCACCTGTATATCTTTGCCATCTACCAGTTCATCATGTTACCAGTTGCACTCTTGTACCTGTGGGCTTGATAGCTCAGTTGGTAGACCACTACACTGGTACTGCAGGACTCATGGGATCGACTTCTGCTAAGTGTGAATTTGTATGTCAGGCTTCACATGTGTATCTTCACAACTGCTTGTTTAATAAGTTACCTAGACTACACAACTGCAATCATCTCTCGTCTCTTTAAATCTTCATTAAATAAATATATACAGGTGTGTTGCTTGCATTCAATTGTGTATTGGTACTTTGAGGCAGCGTGGCCAAGTGTTTTAGGGCGCTGGTGTAGTAATCCAGAGGTCGTGGGTTTAAGGCCTCCACCAAGCCACTAGCGGGATTGGTTTCTCGGAAGTCCCAAGTTCAAATCCTCAGTCATGCTTTGTAAATAGCCAACTGGTCTGCCTCCTGCCAGTTGGGATTTTTAACTATGTTACATTTATTTGAAATATTTGTTTCCTTTGTTTCAGTGGCATGCCTGTAAACTAGCTAAGCTCAGTGCTTGTACAGCGAAGTGCATGACCACTATAAATAAGATTTACAATTACAAAGAGTCTTTTATACAATGTATCTCTTCATGTCTTTCACTGCAAAAAATTCCTGGGTAAAATGTTTGGGATTTCACTGTTAATAGCTAATATCATGGAACATTAATTAATGTTTTTGATGGAACATTTAACAATTTTGGATTATACTTGCTTTACCTCGATTGTCTTCTAGAGAAAGACAAATGAATGCAGCATTCCAACAAGAGGCAGGCCAAAGCGATTTTGGAAGGTGGGAGAGGTTTGGACTGAATTATTGTTGACCTTTTTGCATGTTTTTAGCATAATGGGGTTAACAGACATTATGCATGTTGGATTATTTCAAATGCAAACTAATTAACCAAAAATATAGCATAACAAACAAACTAGCAAACTGGTTAAACCTCGACTTTGAAGTGCAAATGTCATCATTGAATGAATTCCCAAATTTGCAAAGATAAAAGGAATATCCACATGAAAAAGTGTGAGGGTGTACCCCCCCATATCCCCCACCTCTTGGGTGACTGGTGGTAAGCGAAGTCAGTTGTTTCAACCATTACCATGTTGTTTCTGCTACTCAAAATTCAAGGAAAGGTTCTAGCTTAGAAAACAGTCTTTTTCTTGTCACAGGAGTTCATTACTGGCGACAGATCCAAGGGGACGAGACACCAATCCTTTTGATGAACCAGAGGCCTTCCCTGATAGCAATATGTCTGTTGACGACATGAGGAGACAGCAGCAACAAATTATTGCAGGTATTTCATGTAACGTACCACTGATAGCTTTTCAATGATGTTTGCTACCAGGAAGTGTGTAAGTTTTAGAGTTTAGTTAATAGGGAAATGTTTAGAACCAGGGGATATCCTGGTGAAAATCTTTCAAGGATCCTCAAGGATCTTTGTGGATCTTCTTAACAGGATGATCTTACTCAAGTTCCTCAATGATCCTTGCCGAGATCTTAAAGTTTCTTTAAGGATATTTACAATTCTTGCCAGGATCTTCAAAGATGTCGACTAAAATCCTCAAGGTACGTCAAAGATGTTGCTCAAAGACCTTAGAGGATCCTTGCAAAGCCTTGAAATCTGACCCCTGCCTTTAAGGATCTTTAGAATGTCTTTGAAGGTCTTGCATGTTCCTAAAAGATTCTGCAAATCTTTCTGCCAGAGATTTTCTGGAGTTTTTGCAGGCTTGCTTGCACCATGCATGCAAACTAGAAAGTGCTGCTCTGTAGTTAGGGGCTAGTGGATTTTTCTCTTTTTTCTTGCTTTTAGTTGACACATAGTGAGTTTGCATACAAACATTAATGCTGCTGTGTTCATGCAGTTGATTTTTTGTTATTTTAGTCAGTAAATATCAAATATTCAGCAGCAGAGTGGAGGCACATTGGCCTCATGGTTAGTGCGTTCAACTCTAGATTGAGCAGTCTGGGTTTGAGCCCTGGTGGGGACATTGTGTTGTGTTCTTGGGCAAGACACTTTACTCACACATTGCCTCTCTCAACCCAGGTTTACAAATGGGTACCAGCAAACTTAATGCTGGGGGTAACCCTGCGATGGATATAAGTATTCCATCCAGAGGAAGTAGAAATATCCCTATTCACTTCATGCTACAGAAACCAAGATAAGCTGCAGCCTGATGGGTTACTTGTCTTACATGGAGACTTTACCTTTACCTTACCATTCCAAGGCAGAAGTTGAACATTCTGTCAACTTCTTCCACAACCATCTAGATTTGGCTGAATATTAACTGCACTTTGTTCTTAAAGGACCTGCAGTGGTGTAGGTTCTTTTTTCATTGCAATGGACACAGATGAACAATAAATATTGACTGTTGAAACAACCAGTCTGAGCAACAGTAGACTGCAAATGCACAAAAACTAATTCTAACACGTGTCTACAATTATAATTTATTCTTGTCTTTTTCTTCTGACAACAGAACAAGATCAAGGATTAGAAGCTCTTTCAGGAATTATTCAAAGACAGAAAGTTATGGGACAAGCCATATCAGATGAAGTTGATGCACATAATGGTCAGTTAAGCTTTGAAACCTTTGTTTGACTACAAATGAAATTATGCTAAGTAGATAGGACACACTCTGATGGTAAAATTATCTAATTTATTTACCCTCAAAACATGGAAGAGCTGTGATGAAATTGTAATACAGTGTTTGCTTGTCCATCAAGACTGAATAAGAATTTGGCATTTTGTTTTTTGTGGAGGGAGGAAACCAGAGAACCCAGAGAAAAACCCTCAGCAAGGACAATGATGGGCCACATTGGTGGGAGGGACACCGCGGAAATACGTTTTTTGACGTCACAGTAACTGGTCAGTGGTCATCACCATCGGGCTGTGTTGTCCTTCGATCGATCAGTTCTCTGAGAT